GGGTGGGGGTAGGGAGTCAACACAGCTGCCTCCTGGTTACCTCAGCTTTTAAAACTCCAGCCCCATCTGCCTGCCTGCCGGGGCAGTCTCCTCAGCACAGGCAAAGCCAAACAGAATTCTGGTGAGACACATCCCACCCGTCCACCTCTGCAAGTATCCCAGGGTGCCTTCTGAACCCCCAAGAGATCCTTTTGGGAACATTCGCTCTTCATAATGATCTGTGCCAGAGATTCCCTGGCTTCCTCAAAGAGGGGGTAACCGATTTCAGGTGACTGGCCGTGGGACAGGATGGTCCCTGTTCCACAAATGTCCTTCCTGATGTGTGATGTGTGGCAGGAAGAAGTGGGGAAGCCGGTTCCTGAGGTCTCCTTCGCTGCCCCTCTCCTGCACACTCCCTAAGTCATCAATCTTAGAAACCCTGGCCCCCAAACCCCTCCCAGGCACCCCGCCCCCGTTCCTCCCAGGCTTCTCCCTTAAGCTCAGGCTGACCTCCAAGAGTTCAGTGAAGACCCCTCTTTGAACTCTGAGTGGAAGGGGCTGCTTATCTGGGGCCTGGCCCTGCTCTGGAGCCCGGGAGAGGGAACAATGAGGTGGGGTGGGTCAGGGGGCCCCACACCCCTCCTTCCCCTGTGGGCTGACTCACCCCTGCTGCTCCCTGGCCTGCGTCTTCCTGTTAGATTGATGGGCCAGCTCCAGGGCCTGGGCCTCCCTCTGAGTGATGTTGTGTTTCCAGCTGGTAAGATAAGGTTAGGGAGTGGGTGGCGGGACACAGGGCACCTCTTTCTTCCCTCAACCTCCCCACCGCTCGTCTTCCGCTGCCAATGAGCAGCATTCCAGAACCCACCATGCCGACCAAACGGCCAGGGCAGGGAGAGGTTTGGCAAAGAGAAGGAAGTAGGATGAAGACAGTTTATTCCATTTCCCGTCTGAAGTGCCACCACCACCAAGTCGCTGGCGGCAGCTCAGCTCCCCGCCTTCACCCCCAGCCTCCTGGGCATCCTCAGCGAGCCCCGCACCGTCTTCAGCGACCCTGCCCTTTAGGAGAAGAGCCTGGAACGTGGCCCTAGTCCTGCCCACGGAGTGGCCCGCCGCCCAAATCAGGGCCGCCGTGCTGTCCAGCTCCCTATCGTCGCCTGAGTGAAAGGCGCCACCTGGACTTGTGCATCACAGGGCCCAGTGGCCAGGGATCGTGCTCGGTGGGAATGTAGG